GAGGTTGAATGGACTCACAGTTCCACATGGCTCTCAATCATGGCAGAAGGTCAAAGGCATATCTTACAAAGGCACATGGAAACTGACAAGGCTTTGGGCTTGCACCCTCTGAAGCCACACCCTGAGCTGTACCTTCAACCCTTTTAGCCATGGCTAGAGCAGCTAAGACCCAAGGCACCAAGTCTCTAGGCTTCACATAGCAGGGGGGCCCTGGGCCAGGCCCAGGGAACCATTTTTCCCCCTAAGCCTCCAGGCCTATAATGCGAAGGGCGACTCTGAAGATCTCTCACTTGCCCTGGAAATATGTTCCCCATTGTCTTGGTGATTAATATTTAGCTCTTTTTTTACTTATGCCAGTTTCTGTGGCAGCCTTGATTTCTCCCCAGGAAATGGGTTTTTTTCTTTCATTGCATTGTCAGACTGCACATTTTTCAAACTTTTATGCTATGCTTCCTCTTGAATGCTTTGCCACTTAGAAATTTCTTCTGCTAGATACCCCAAATTATCTCTCTCAAGTGCAAAGTTCCACAAATCTCTAGGGCAGGTGAAAAAATCCACCAGTCTCTTTTCTAAAGCACAGCAAGAGTTGTCTTTGCTCCAGTTCCCAACAGGTTCCTCATCTTCATCTCAGAGCACTTCAGCCTGGACTTGATTGTCCATATCATTATCAGCATTTTGGTCAAAGCCATTCAGCAAGTCTCTAGGAAGTTCCAAACTTTCCCATATTTTTATGTCTTCTGAGCCCTCCACGTCTCTAGGAAGTTTCAAACTTTCCCACATTTTCCTCTTTTTCTGAGCCTTCCAAACTGTTCCAACTTCTGCCTATTACCCAGTTCCAATGTTGATTCCACATGTTCTGTGTCTTTTCCTCAGTACCCTACTCCTGCTATCAATTTACTGTATTAGTCTGTTCTTGTGCTGTTGGTAAAGACGTACCTGAGACTGGTTAATTTATGAAGAAAAAGAAGTTTAATGCAGTCACAGTTCCACATGGCTGGGGACATCTCACAACCATAGCAGAAGATGAAAGGCACATCTTACATGGGAGCAGGCAAATAGAAGATGAGAACCAAGCTAAAAGGGTTTCCCCTTATGAAACCATCAGGTCTTGTGAGACTTATTCACTATGATGAGAACAGTATGGAGGAAACCACCCCCAGGATTCAATTATTTTCTACTGGGTCCCTCCCACAACATGTGGGAATTATGGGAGCTACAATTCAAGATGAGGTTTGGGTGGCAACACAGTCAACCGTATTATGTGTCAGGGAGGAAAGGAGTCAGCCAGAGTAGGTAAGGCAATCCTGGCTGACTGCCTCCACTTATTTGCATTAGCTGTTGAGAGGGTAATTGATGTGTATTGGTGAACAAAAATAGGGAGCTTGTTGACTTTTTTTCCCTAAAATGGATTTGGAAATAATCCATGTAGTGTTCTGATTTTAAAGACCATTTACACCCAGTAGTTTTGGCCTAGGTTTTAAAGAAGCAAATGGACACAGACTGGACAAGAAGACTGCAGAAGGACTCCAAAGGGACAGCAGGGAATAGGAATATGTCTTAAAGACTACACACCAAACCAGAAACTGTGAGGAGGGGAGGACAGGCCAGTCTCTAGTCTTTATTAGAAATGGTAGAGATGATATTGGGAAGATGAAGAGAAAATTTTGCCAGCTCACTTCAATGTTAATTTAATATTTTTGAAACCTAGATTAGAACCTTTATAGTTTATTGAGCAAGACTGAAATGGTATGTTACTCTTTTAAATTTTTTTTCTTCATTGAGACAGGGCCTCTCTCTGTTGCTCAGGCTATAGTAGAGTGGTGCAATCTCTACTCACTGCAACCTCTGTCTCCCAGGTTCAAACAATTCTCATACCTCAGCCACATGAGTAGTTGGAATTACAGGTGTACCCCACCACGACTGGCTAATTTTTTTGTATTTTTAGTAGAGATTGGGTTTTGTCATATTGCCCATGCTGGTCTTGAACTCCTGAACTCAAGTGATCCGCCTGCCTTGGCCTCCCAAAGTGCTGTGATTACAGGCATAAGCCAGTGCAGCTGGACAGATTCTTAATTGAAGTTTTATTTTGAAATGAAATTGCTTATTTTAATTTTAGTATGTAGGGATAAGAGATAAAGATTTTATTTCTAAGGGCACTTATATTTGGAGTAAACTGAATCTACAGTTCATATAAGATACAGTTGTTTGTTTTTTAATTCTTAGGCTGCCAGTTGGTTATTCATGTTGCCCTAAAAATTTTGATATGTTTTTAAATGTTTGCTAAAATCTTACTACATGTTGACCTTTAGATTTCATATATTTTCTGATAACAACAATTTAAAAAAAAATCAGGCTGGGCATGGTGTCTTAACGCCTGTAATCCCAGTACTTTAGGAAGCCAAGGTAGTTTGATCACTTGAGGTCAGGAGTTCGAGACCAGCCTCACCAACAGAGTGAAACCCTGTCTCCACTAAAAATACAAAAATTAGCTGGGCATGGTGTCAGGTGCCTGTAATTCCAGCTACTTGGGAGGCTGAGGCAGGAGAATCGCTTGAACCTGGGAGGCAGATGTTGCAGTGAACTGAGATTACACCATTGCACTCCAGCCTGGGCAACAGAGTGAAACTCTGTCTCAAAAAATAAATAATAAAAAATAAAATACAACAAAAAATAAAAATAAATCCTTCTCTGTTGATATAAAATTGAGATTTTATTGTCGTAATGTTACCAAACTACACAAGGAAGCATAAATATTATAGAACACAGAGATTAAGTAGGAAGTATAAAGGGAATCATGCTACCCAAGTCCTGGGTGTGCTACATGTGCTGAGTCAGGAGATTGCTGAGGTTCACACAGACAAGCCAAGAATTAATGAAAAGTAACCAAAGTGCCACAGAGTGGTTAGATGTAAAAGGGAACACTTCCTGTCTGTTACTACAGCTTTACCTATCACATAGGATTGAGTGTATCTTATGCAATTATATACCTGAATGTATTAGAAAATCAGATCTTTATAGATAAAAACTTGCAGATTATAAATAACAATTAACAAAAATGATAAACACAACCAGTCAACATGACAACCTAATATGGCCATCACAGTTTAAACAATACATATGTAAAGAAATGCCAAGGAAGGAAATAAATGCTAGATTATACTAAGAGTCAAAGCCCAATAAAAAGGAATGTGTACATTTGCAAGATTACAGATTTTAGCTCTGAAACATTCTGAAGTATTTATATATATATACATATACATTTATACTTTATAAAGGACTTATATATATAAATACTTTTGAATATATATGTATATATAATATATATATACATATATATAAATATACATACGTATATATATATATATATATATATATATATATATATATATATATTTTTTTTTTTTATAGGGGCTCACTCTGTCATCCAGGCTAGAGTGCAGTTGTGCAATCATGGCTTACTGCAGCCTTGATCTCCCAGGTTCAAGTGATCCTTGCACCTCAGCCTCCCAAGCAGCTGGGACTACAGGTGCCCACCACCATGCCCAGTTAATTTGTGTGTGTGTGTGTGTGTGTGTGTGTGTGTGTGTTTTCAGAGATGGGGTTTCATCATGTTACCCAGGCAGGTCTTGAACTCTTGGCCTCAAGTTATCTGCCCACCTTGGACTCCCAAAGTGATGTGATTACAGGCTTGAGCCACCACACCTGGCCTTTGTGATATGTTTAAAATACACTTGCTACTGTGTTACTTCCTCTATGAAAGTTTCTCTGCTTGAGGGCAAAGTCCAAACTTCTATTTGTTTTTTAATACATTCAGAGTTGTCCAGGTTGAAGATTTGTTTCCAATAAGCATTCTTATCTAAATGTTGGACGCTTTCCTGTAAAGATGAGACAATGATGTCTGATGTTGCAAGTATTTTAACTGTGTGATGGATGAATTGTTGTTAAGCTCACCAAGCATAGTAATAATTATAATTAATGAATTTTAGGAAGTAACAAATTTAAATATGAAAGTATCAAAATCCCTTCTGTATTTAGAACTTCCATGATTTTTCTCATGGAATTTCTGCATTAATTCTATGTGGCTCCTCAGGATAGATATCTTGCTCATATTCAGGGAAAACTTCTTTTTCTCAATGCTTTTCTGTGAAGGAAACAGAATGCGATATGATAGTAAAAAAATGAAATACTGATTCAGGGTTTACCGATGGATGAGATTAATTTAGAGAAGAAATATAAATGGAAGCAGACTAGTCATAGGTATGCGAGACAGTTTCCACATGAGCTACTATGCAGAGGGTACCGTTTTGGGTGAGGGTTCATGTGAACCCCTCTGAGGGCAGAGTTTATTGTTTCAGCTGTTGGTTGCTGAGAGCCTGTGGGCCCTGCCCTCTGTTCTTTGTCTTACTCGGAGCATGCTGACCGGGCTGATTACTTCATATCAAGTCCTCATTCTTGGAATGTTCTTTAGAATAATTGTATTTGTAATCCCAATAGCACAGTGCAGCACACCTTTATTTCCTGGTGCACGGCTTTGCCAGAGCTCAAAAGACAGAGTTGTTATTTCAAGGACAACATATTTGCTGAGTTAGGTGGTGATGGCTTCCACAAGGATGCTATTACCTCTGAACAAGGACACGTTATTCCAACATTGGAGCTACCTATCATGAACTGAGTCTAAAGATAGCTTTCACTGATGAGCATTTGTAACCTTTGGTCTTTTCACATGGTGCTCTCTAAAAGCTCTAACAACTGTAGCTCCTAACATTAGGAGGTTATGAGTTCCAATTAACAGTCTTCTGTTACTAGGACATCAGGTTATATTCTGATGCCTTTGTTTTCCTTTCTGAGATTTCTCCTAAAAATTAAAAGAAATAATCTTCAAAACACTTGTTGATTACAGGGGACACGATGACATGTAAGTTTATTCTCACCAAGTACAGACATAGAGATTTTGTACCCTGCCCTTGATGAGTCTCTTATTTGCTGCTTTGTGTTTTTAGATGACTAAGAATGGCACAGTGGAATCAGAAGAAGCCAGCACTCTTACACTGGATGACATTTCTGATGATGACATTGACCTAGACAACACAGAGGTAGATGAGTACTTCTTCCTACAACCTTTGCCAACAAAAAAACGAAGAGCTCTGCTGCGTGCCTCTGGAGTGAAAAAGATTGACGTGGAAGAAAAGCATGAGCTGCGAGCCATCCGCCTCTCGCGAGAGGACTGCGGCTGTGACTGCCGAGTGTTCTGTGATCCAGACACGTGCACCTGCAGCCTGGCTGGCATTAAGTGCCAGGTAAGAGTTTGGATTTCAGGGCATCCAAAGACCAGATGTTATTCACCGCCCCCTAAGGAGGCAGTCATGGTATATATAATGAAGCTTCCCCCATGTAAAAGAATATTTTGTGGCAAGGCAAGACATGTAATTTAGGAAGAAAAACTAATTTAAGGACAATCATGGGAATACATAAAATGCTTACACATATAATATATAATTTGAAAGGCAACCCAAGTATCAGCTGAGTTAATTAAAATTATTTTATCTTGATTCTTGTATTATATCTGCTTATTTCATCTTTTTATCGGTATTCAAAGAGATCATGACATCCCTAACACTGGAGTGTGTATTTTTTGATCCACCCATGGAATATAGTATGATGATTAATTAGAGGTTGTTGGATTAGTGGAAAAATTACTAGATTGGGACCTCAGAAAACCAAATTGTATTCCCATCTTTGCTATTTGCCAACTATATGGAATTGGCAAGTCAGGTAAACCCTCTGGGGTTACTTCATTTATCTTTAAAATGAAGGAGCTGAACTAGGTCAGGGGTTGGCACACTGTAAGTTCACAGGCCAAATCTGACCTTGCTACATGACTTTGTAAATAGAGTTTTATTGGATCACAGCTACATTTTGTTTTACATATTTCCTATGACTGCTTTCTTGCTCCTACAGAAGATTTGAGTATTGTGGTTGCCTCAGAGCCCATATGGTCCACAAAGCCTGAAATATTTACTCCTTTGACCTCTGCAAATAAAAAGTTGACCAACCCTTGATGATTGGCAATTAGATAATTATCTGGTCCCCATTCATTTATAATGTCATTGCTGCCCTATAATTAGTGTCACTATTTTATGCAGAAACTTGGCTTTTTCAATAAGGAGAGAAACTCGGGTAGGCAAAAGAAGAGGACAGTGCCTATCTGCTGAACAGTTGCTTAAGATGGATTCACAGAAAAGGGATTCATAAATTTAAAAAATACAGATACATATTCTGGCTCTAATATCTACTGTACTTTTTACTGGGGCCAAGATGATTGTATTAGGATAGTCTGCCTTCTCTTCTACAGCATAGGAAATTCCCTGTGCTGGATAAGGTGACAAGCAGAGCAAGTTTTTTTCTCTTGCCTGCACTCTGGTCTGCATACAGATTGATCTGTGGAGTCTGAGACAATTGACAAATCTCTCATGAATGCCCTTGGATTGTCCAAAACTCCACCTCTCACCTGAGTGAGAGAGGTCAGTCCAACACTTGTTGATCCTTATCACTCTATCTCCAGTGTCCAATCACTAGAATAGCTTTGAGATATTGATGTAAAGTACATGCCCTTCCTTCAAGAAGATTGAATCTAATGGAATGGGGAGGAACTGGGGGATTCAGGACCTAAACACATGAGTCCACCAGTCATAGTCATGAATGTGCATATCCACTGGAGCCCTGCAGTTCAGTACACTCCAAATCAGATCTCTGAGAACTATTCTGAAAGAGACACTGTCAAAAACAATACCCTTTCTCTGGTGCCTTATACCATGACCCCAGAGCAATTCATTGACTATGCCTGACAAGCAGAAGAGGCCTATGGTGCCTCCCACTATCCAGCTGCCAACCCCTCTGTAATTGTTTGCTGCTCCTCTTCTGAAAATAGCACTGATAGCAGTGTGCCCTGCAATAGTTTATGTCCTGAACACAGGGCCAATCACACACGTATCTATGTACCAACCACCCCAAACAATGAAGAGGTAAGCAAATGAGGGTGTGTGATGCTAACTGGTGTAAGTCCATTTTATAATAAGCAAAGAGAAAAACAATTTTATAATGAGCAAAAGGAAAAGTTAACATGGGACATATCATATAAGTTAGATTAATAACATGTGGAGAGGAGTACAGTAAGTTTGCTTGTTTAAAATCAGGCACATGAGCTAGGATGCAGCAGAAGAAACGGGAACTTTGGGAAAAGACAGAAGCATTGGAAAAATGGGAGAAAAATTAAAGAAGTGGAGGGATGGGAAAGTGGGGAATAGAGAAAAAAGGAAAGAAAGCCGTGGAGTGGGTCAGTGAACTGAAAATACACACTTATAACCATAACCCATTTTCATTTTATTATAGGTATAAAAAGCAGTTAACTCTTATGTTTTAAGCCCTCACTTTCCCCTTTTCATTCCTATGTGAAGTTTGGTTGTCATTTGCTCTGCCATACATGGCAATAAGTGGATTACTTAATTCAAAGAAGTTACTAAAAGGTTCCCGGTTTTTATTTGGTTTGTAATAGTTCCATGGTGCTAATCTCTGTTCTTCCTTCCAAGGTGGATCGTATGTATTTCCCATGTGGCTGCACTAAAGAAGGATGTAGTAACACAGCAGGTAGAATTGAATTTAATCCTATCCGTGTTCGGACTCACTTTTTGCACACAATAATGAAACTTGAACTGGAGAAAAACCGAGAGCAGCAAATCCCCACACTGAATGGCTGCCACAGTGAGATAAGTGCTCACAGTAGTTCCATGGGCCCTGTCGCCCACTCCGTAGAATATTCGATCGCAGACAGTTTTGAAATTGAAACTGAACCACAGGCTGCAGTGCTGCACCTGCAGTCAGCTGAAGAATTAGATTGCCAAGGAGAGGAAGAGGAAGAGGAGGAGGATGGAAGCAGCTTTTGCAGTGGAGTCACAGATTCTAGCACACAAAGCTTGGCACCTAGTGAGTCAGAGGAGGAGGAGGAGGAGGAAGAAGAAGAGGAAGAGGAGGAGGAGGATGACGATGATGACAAAGGAGACAGCTTCATGGAAGGTTTGGGCACCCATGCGGAAGTTGTCCCTCTTCCTTCAGTTCTTTGTTATTCTGATGGCACCGCCGTTCATGAAAGCCACGCAAAGAATGCTTCTTTTTATGCCAACTCTTCAACTCTGTATTACCAAATAGATAGCCACATTCCGGGAACTCCAAATCAGATCTCTGAGAACTATTCTGAAAGAGACACTGTCAAAAACGGTACCCTTTCGCTGGTGCCTTACACCATGACCCCGGAGCAATTTGTTGACTATGCCCGACAAGCAGAAGAGGCCTATGGTGCCTCCCACTACCCAGCTGCCAACCCCTCTGTAATCGTCTGCTGCTCCTCTTCTGAAAATGATAACAGTGTGCCCTGCAATAGTTTATATCCTGAACACAGGTCCAGTCACCCTCAAGTGGAATTTCACTCATACTTGAAAGGCCCCTCCCAGGAAGGGTTTGTCTCTACATTGAATGGTGACAGTCACATTTCAGAGCATCCTGCTGAAACTTCTTTGAGCCTTGCAGAAAAGAGCATATTGCACGAAGAGTGCATCAAGTCACCCGTGGTTGAGACAGTCCCTGTTTAGTACCTTAAATTATTCTAGGACCAACTCTTCTCCTATTTAAGGCACTGTATTTAATTGGATTTCCTGGGCTCATCGTTGTTTAAACTGAAGACCAAGAAAACTTGGACGGTGTTTAATCTTCCAGACTGTATTTTGTTTTTTCCTTTCTAGCCACATGACTGTGGCATTGCACAAATACAGTCTCTGTAGGGATTTTAGAAGATTTCAGACTGTTTTGATAGAAAATGCTAAATTTTAAAAATGCATATCTCACAGTTGCCTACCTGTCAAACTGTGTGAAACCTGCCAAGCTGTGTAGATCAGAGCTCCAAATTTTGGATTATCGGGCCTGTGCAAGTTTGTTAACTAAGGCTGGGAAGTAATAAGATTTAGAGTCCTAATTTTCGATATATCTGAAGATAATGGTGACTTTTTATTGTAAAAGTAATTATTGTAAGAAAAAGATATAACTGTTCCATGTGTATTTTATTTATGGTAGTGTAGAAGTTACGTTTTGGTGAAAATGAACAGCCGCATGTTCATTCCAGCTGAAGATACATAGCTAGTTCCACAGAGCATGCCCACATGGATTGCATCTGGAATCCATTCACATTTTTATGATCATGACTGATCAGATTTGCAAAATTCTGAAGGGCGAAATAGGCCTATTTTTGCTATTTTGGGCAAATAAATGATTCTATATGTGCAGGTCCTTACACAGTTTTCTTTAAAGTTAAGAGTTAGGACAATCCTCTGGGGAGAGGCTAGTTCACTGCCCTCCCTCAGCTGACTCCAGAGATGGAGGTAGAAGGAATTGCCTTTCTTTTTTAAACAGCATCATCTTGGTTCTTAGCTTGGACAGCACCTTTAAGCTCTAACCCCTACATCAAAATGCACTTTAGTGCCCCTTCACGGTACCTCGTGTGGGGTGGGGACTGAGAACTTTTTGAGATGAAAACATAAAAAAAAATTGTTTAAAGATCTTAACTATTATAAGATTCATATAGTTAATACAGAGGAATCATCCAATGATACTTATGAAGGGAAAATGACCTATTTTCCTTCGCCACTCTGAAGACCTAACTCAGTAAATGCAGAGGAGGCTGAGGAAACATGGAAGAGACACGACCTCAGCAACCAGCTTTTTCTCCAGCGCCATCAATCCATCCCTACAAAATCAGTATATAATGAGATTTCCACTTAGTGATTAGCTGATTGAAGGGGAGGGCCTCTACCCAAATACTCAACTAGGCCTTTCTTTTCTGAAGCTTTTCGATTTGTCTTGCCTGGGACAACTAGCAGAACAGTCCAAAATTCATTGCATACTTTCTAATTACCTCACATTCTCTTATTAAAGAGAACAGATAGAAATAAAACATGCACTCCCCAACTTTAGATAACCTGCACTTGGTTCGTAGGAGGACTTCTAGGATCCCGTTTTCCTGTAAATTAATTTAGGTAACTAAATAGTGTATTCTACCTTTTTTTTCCCAATGCAATTATGACTATGCTAAACCTGTTTCACATTTTTGACCTTCTATTGTTATATCACTTCACATGTTTTATAACTATTTGAACTGCGGACATGCCTTGCTATTCAGTGACTGCATCGCTACTTATTTTTTATGTCTTTTAGCCTTGGGTGCTTAGAATTATGGATATAAATATATTGTAGATCTCAATTTCTTAAAAGAATATTTTATTTAATTGAACTTAAAAATGCTTGATCTAGAGAAAGTCCTCCAATGGAAAAGTTTCTATTAAAATTTGTTTTGGGGAAAAAAATGTTTACTTGGCAGCTCTTGCACTGTGCAGTTGATTTCTGCCCCTTCTCTCCCCCTCCCCTCCATTGGGCCAAATTTATAACCATTAATATTAACATTAAAAGAGCTTTGGGTTTGTCTTTATGTAGGTTGCAGTCATGAGGTCAGGGTTGTTCCTTTTGAATGATTGGCCCTTTGAGCTAATCAGATTGGGGATTTGTTGAAATCTCAAATATATATATATATATATCCCATGTTGTCTGCAAAGTGGCAGTTTTTAGTGCTTAATCTCCAAATTCTTCCCCTTACCAATACAATCTAAAGAGCACAGGCTCAAAGAGAAAATGACAAGAGGCTATTGTTCCTTCATTCAAGCACATGAAAGGATCATGTGTACTGTATTTGCTGGACCATTACAAGCTCTTGAAGGATCTGCTTGTGAAGTGCTCTGAGGTTATTCTTGGAACATAGAGTGTGGGAGAGTGGGAAAGAGCCAGCTCCAGCCTGAGCAAAGCTGAAGGGTAGAATGACAGTCCAGTTTCTGAAAAGAGAGATATTTTAATTTCAGTTCAGCTTTATTTTCCTAAGATGGTATGAAGCCTACTTTTTTGTAATTTTTGGCTAGATCTTTGTTTTCTACCTTTGTTTCCAAAAGGATGCTTAAGAAAACAGTTTTTTCCCCCATCCATTCACCCGGGGTAGAAAGTCACTGCCCTACTGAGAAGAATTAACCTTCCAATTATAACCAGCTTCCATTCCAACTTTTCATACACCTGACTAACTTGTAAGCATCTCCCACAAATCACATACACAGGGTACCTACTAAAACTCTCCCATAAACCTAACACATACACAGGCATACACATACAAAATATATGCATATCACACACTTAGAGAATGACAGATTTCAGGCAATGGCCAATAGAAAGTATTGAGTTTCTCTGACCTCAGAATCTGGTTGGGCTTTATGATCTAAAAAGTGTGTTTAGAAAAAAGAATAATTGGTAAAGCTATAGCTTTAAAATATCAGGTCAAAGTTGCAAAAATACTAATGATGGAATCATTTCATTATTAGTTTCTTTCCCAGAAAAGATGAGAGAGCACACGGTTCCATCTGACTTTTTTTTCCCATTAATAGCCCTTCTACTCAACAAAGAACTGCCCACATGCCAGGAAAGTGCTACAGTCCTTCTAAGCATTTCAAAATGGGGATCAAGCTAGATGCAGCCAGTTGGAATACTTAAGATCTTTATGCCAAGACACAATAACCTGACCTGCAGCTGTTGTATTGACCCCATAGTATATCTAGCCAAGCTGTCGTCTTTTGGACATACAACTTTTTAATCATTCACTATCACTTGCAAAGCTTCATACTCCAGTCCTGGCTGTTCTAGTACCAGTCCTATACCTTTAAATGGGGCTTAATTCCCAGTTATAATCCTGGCCAAATTGATTTGAAAGTCAAGTGGTTGAAGCAGCTTGCATCTCCTTTTTCATTCCCAATTTCCTTTGGAGAAAGAAGGTTTTCCCCCTTATCTCTTGATCATTAATTATTAAGACATGGGTAAAATTCATTTATCATGTGTCTTTTGGTTGATTGAATAATATAGTTACTTTTTGAAGGCCCATAATTTCTTTGTGATAAAACCGTTTTTTCCCAATGTGACAGTCACATATAAAATGCGAAACTAATGTTTCCTAGAATGATTAAAATCTTCACAATTATATATGGCCCTGCAATACTCCCTTAGTCCCTCCACACACACACAAAGAAATGATGAGTTGCAAAAAAACTAATTACAAATTAAGAAGCAAAGAGATTATGTTAAGTGGATATGTTCTTTAAAATTTTACAATGTAATAGATGACGTCTAGGCAAAATTTTGGTATGATTACCATTAAACAGGAAAACATACCATGCTTTACTTTCTATAAGTTGCTAATCACTGTTTCCTTGATTTTAATGTTTGATATTGTTGCACAAGTTTATAACTCTTTATATTTATATTTATATTTAAAATTTATTAACTATCAATTCTTCCTTTCAACAAATATGAACTGAACACCTGCTGTGTTAGAACAATTGTCTTGGGTAGTAAAAAGAGGGGAACACCACAGATTCTAAGGGATAATATTAATGAAGGGTGGCATGAAATAATCAAGCCTTCTCAAATCCTCTTAATATGAGATTTTTATCATGGGATATTAGAAAAACTGACATCAGTTCTTGTCTAATTATATGTGAGCTGAAACTAAAAGATACTTCTTTTTCCTAAATTGATGGAACTCACTGGATCTTCCTTCATCTCTCTCCCTCCATCTGAAATTTATGAATTAAATCTGGACTCAGCTAGGACTGAATCAAATGAAAAAGAAATTTTTGATTAATTGCTTTTTCAATGTTAAACCTATATAAGTGATGCTAAATTTACACCAGCAGACTCCTATCAGACATTTTCAAGGAGGGTTTGACTCATGCATAACCCAGGAAACATTTCAGGACACTTTTAAGACAATGTATGGAACATAATCACTCTTACTTCTATTTATAAAAAGCCTATCAAAATAGCAAAATCCTGTTCCAAGTTCCAAAGACATCACCTTGCAGCAGGTGGAAAACAGAGAGGTCATTACACTCTGTCACTTTCAGCTGGAGTTACAAACCATCAAATTAGCAAGCAATATAAATCAAATTTATATTCTCAGAAGCCAACAGGAGACTACCTTTTTAGAAGGTGTCAGGAAGCCTTCTCTTTCTCAAAATGTAACACAATATTTTTTCTTAAAATGGCATCTGCTGCTTATTCTCTTGAAGACAGTTTGCAGTGCCATTATAACCAGCATATTAAACACCAAGCTTAAATGGTAAGCACCTTTGTGCTTTTGAAGACAAGACTTGTCTATAATTTTAATTGGAACTGTTGGTTGTATTCTTACCACAACCAAACCCAAAGTTTAAAACCTGATCACTCTTAGGTCTAATACGAATTTGCAACTTCTGATTGCATTACTTTTTCTGAAATCTGCTAACTAGTGCTGGAATAACGAAAATGCCTAAGCCAAAATGCCATAGCTTTGCACAACTCATCAGATGTTTTCTGTGGTATTAAGGAATTTAGGTAACTTAATTGAATATCAGCAATTTAAATACCCACCAGAATTATGGAAGTAGCAGAGTGGAAGTGAGGATGGAATATAGCTTAATAAGTGGTGATGTCTTTTAGGAATTATAAAAAATGTTCAATAGATCTAAGCTAGATCTTTTTATGCTATAAAGACTAGAGTTACAAATGGCGGACCCAAACCTAGAAGGAACAGTTACAATGTAGACACCCTTTCAGCCCAGTTGGTGCTCACATCTGCTGACCAACATTCATATCAATTACATTTTTACTGTCTATAAGTCATTTGATGCTTTAGAATAATAAAAACACACCTACAGCATTCTAAATGAACTATTGTGTTAAAAAAAAAACACATTTTATATTAAAATGTCTGGTAAAAAGTACAGACATTTAAAAAAGCTCTTCTTTAACATTTTACCTACCAAATCTAGATATTCATTGTGACTACTTAAAACAGTCATTTCTAAATTTTACTTCAACTCCTTTCTTGTTTTTTTCAAACTAGATCATGAAACCCTCTTCCTAAACAATGTAGGTGTTTTTTAAATTCTTTTTTTTTTTTTCCGGAAATTCAAGCTCAGACATTTGAGATGACCTGTATTTTACCTAGTGATCAGTGCTGGGACTAGTCTAAGTCTGTACTGTCTTGGCATACCTCGGGTTTCCTATCCTGACAGTGGTAATGCTGATAGAATGATGGGAAGCAGGAGAGTGGATTTGACCGGATTCAATGCCTAAACCAATATGTTTCAGTTCACTTTTCTATGTAGATTTAAAAATATTACATCTAGCCTAGAATTTTAGTATATAAACACACTTGTTGTATCCATGGGTAATGAGGTCATTTCCAAGATGTAAGTCACACTGGTGACTACTTACTATACAGGGTACTTGCTTTTATAAATTTGATCCTTTGCGTTGGTTTATAATTCAAGAAATGTCAACTTCACTGTGTCATCTTACATCATCCCTCATAAAAGTTTCTGGCAGGACTAAAGTTTCAAAGGAATATGATAGAATTTATTTTGAACAATATTTGTATTCAGCATGCTAATGATGTAGTTCCTCTCTTTGCATTACTCGTTACCATGGTAATAGTTAAGTTCATTCATTAACTCATTTTAGTGACATCTGAGGCCATTTAAATATTTTTAAGACAATGTATATTGATTAGAAAGAGTTAGGAGAGAAATGTATGGTAGAAATGAGCCTTGCCATTGTCTAAGTTAATTTGTGTGACCTGACTGAACAGTTTGAGTTGTAACTTTGGAATAGCTTCTTTGTTAGAAGCTTTCTCTTTCGGTTTTCTACCAATATTTTTATCTGTCTTGGAATTATCTTAAAATATATTTATTAATGAGTATCTGGAAGAAAATTGACTTCAAAGATGTCTCTTTCAAATTTATCTAGGTACTTGTGATATATATAAATGTCAACTTCACTGTGATACAAGGTCACAATGTCACAAAGTGATACAAATGTCAACTTCACTTGTGATACAAGTATCTAAATAAATTTGGCAGTAGGCATCAAGTCCTACTGCACACTGGATAAGACCCCTACCCACCACCCTCCTTGTCAGGGGCATGGCTTCCGAATAATGGTTTTGCTGTGGTATCTACATAGGGTACCTGTGGAAAAGGAGTTTGAAATGTCTATCTTTGTCGTACATTGTATACAATTTTCTTTTGCTCCTCCTTTTTATGTGGTCACCAAAAAAAGCTTTTTTTCCTTAGCCATTAAAAAAGCCACCCCTCTTTAAAACAAATTTAAAGATCTATAGACGTTTTGCAACTTTATTTAATATAAAAGAGAAGAAAAAATAAAATCCAAATCTGAATTACCCTAAAGTGGAAAAACCGAAATATCTAAACTAGGAACTTGCTGCCTGGTTTAGTGTTGATCCTTGAGTCATTTATGGTATCCAAATGATATCTGAAGATGACTAATTTTAAGATATAATAGTTGGTAAAGTCATTTCATTTATATCTCAATAAAATAGAACCCACTGCCATGGATTACCATCTGAATCCTGATTCATTAAGCACTAGTCATGCCAAATGGGGATCTCAGAATAGTTTAATTGTTTCAAAGATACTCACAATGGCCAACTGTGCGTAAATAATGGAAAGATTCAGATTCTTCTGTATTCTTCAAATGTTACAGTCCTGAGACTAGGAGGGATCTCCAGAGGTCATACGGCTCATCGATCTACCACCAGGGAGGACTGTCACTCAGGCATGCCCAACAGGATAGATGGCCATCTATTCTTAACATCTCTAGGGAAGGCAGTTTCCTTGGCAACACAATTCAGCTCTCTTAGGTTTTCTCACAATAAGAAAATATCTTGGCCAGTCTTTGAGGGTTAGGCACCTGGCAACAGTTGTGGTGATTTGGGCCATTGTACTAGGGGACTCAAGGGAAGCTGGGTTTCCCTCTACGTTTGATGATTATTACTTCACTAAGCAATCATTTCATATGTCTCCCAAGAAATCAGATTTTGAGAGAAAGACATGGATACAGAGACAATGCTCAGTAACATGACCAGCTTTTGACAAATATGGCCTTATTGGGTTTTCATTTTTGTTGCTGTTGTTTGTTTCTGTGATTGCTCTTATGTCAGTAGGTAATGTCAGAAAAAGTGACCGATTGTTTCAGATCCCCAGTGACAAATACCAGAACTAGGATCAAGTGATTTGACTTTTAAGCTGTTGTATTTTCTGAGAAGTTACAATTACAAAAAGTAAGCATTTTCTACATTCTTACTTCTAAGTAAGTACCTTCTCATTAATCTTTCCTTAGCCTAAAATGACAAATAAGAATCCAAAGTTTTTCCACTCCTCCTGGGGGAGATAGGAGTAGTTGTGAAGAGTCTGTTGGAATATAATGTCTCCAGAGATTTACACAGCCACCATTTGATCCCAGCCTTTGTCCCTGTGTTATTTAAATAATGGCTGCTTGCTTTCTCAGGGATCAGGAAAATGATTTAAAAATCTGTCTTCTTGACGAGGCCCGAAAATGAAGGGAAGAGTCCTGGAGAATGGTGATTTTTCTGGTTACATCACTTGACTCAAGCACTCCCTGAAGCTTTCAGAACATTTTCTGTTTGCTCAGAGTTGACACCCAATTCAGAGTCAGAACTCTCCAGAAGATGAGGAGCACCCCCGAAATCAATGTTTTGTTTCTCCATGGAATTTTTTTCAATCTTGGTACAGCTGCATATCTCCCCATCTCGGACGCTCTTGTGAAACGACAGCCACATCAGTGTGGTTACTCCCCACAAATAACATTAGGGGAAAATGATCCTTTTTATTAAAAAAAAAAAAAGGTAAATGCTATTGAATGATCATGTAAAGAATGTTGAATAAAATTTGGCCCATGTTTTAATTGACTCTAGGCACCTCTATGGGAATAAGTCTGAGGCATAGTTTGTGAAACATGTTTCAAAAGTGTTTGATGTATAATAAATGCTAGACATTTACAGTACAGAAATAGTTTAAAAAAAATAAACCTGTAGATTACAGCTCTGTTCCTAAGAACCTCAGCCTTTATTGTGTCTTAGTAAAGTTAATCTGCTTTATTTTTAGTTTATTGAATTTCTGGTGTAATAGCCTCTTAAGATATAACTATTAATACATATGTACTGGTTAATGCCTGTTTATGCAGAAAATGGCACTTTGTTCTTTCAGTGTGTTTCCTTCCGTGTCACAGGGTATATCAATTTGATAGATCATTTGACGTTTGTCAAAAATACATTTTTACCATTTAAGGAATATGTACAATTGGTTGCATAGACATATGTCACTTTTTGCAGTGTCTTTATCTTGATCATAGTTTTAGACATCAACTATGTCTCACTTTCCAACTGCCATTGAAATTTGGTACATTTGTAAATTCTGGTGGAATCTAGTGAGCTGAATGTACTGGTAGATCAAATGATCCAAAGGACTTGGGTGTTATCCTTCAGTCTGTGTTGAACCATTCAGACACTGGGAATGGTCCTTACACAAGGGAAGTCTTTTGAGAATGTCTGTTTTACTTTTTATTTGTTTGTTGCTGGCAAAAAAAAAAAAAAGAGGCAACTTTAAATAATCAGAAAAGCCACTGAACTGTATTTTCTGATGTTACAATTAGTTTTATCTTTCAACTGATTCTTATTGTTACTTTTACTCAATATCAGCAGTGCTTCAATAGATGTTTATTAGATATGTTTAATCTAATGACTTAAAAAGGTTGAAAGGGAAGAAAATCAACTCCAATCCACACATACAGTCATGTTACACTAAGATGTCATGTTGTATGTCACACCATTTCTAGATTGATTTCTCTTGTGTATAAGTTATAACATCAAAAATGCCAAAGGGTATATAAAATAAGCTACAGTAATATTCAACAGAACTTATCCTGGACCTTATGTTGTAATAATTTATTTATATTAGCTGTAGTCTTCTGTATTTATATTTTCAGTATTTATTATGAATGACATGAAAATTTGTGTATTTATTGTGGCTTTTTATTGCAGTGTGTATATATATATATATAACAAATAAGCATTTTTAAGTCTTATTCTTAAGTTTCTTTTATTAGTGGCACTTGTATTATGCTGTACTTTTTATTATATATTGTACAATATCTTGTCCATTTGTTTGCAGCAGAGTAAAACCGGTTTCTAAGTTGTATCTACTGTTGCATTTCTGTTGCGTGTTGTGTGACATGTTTGTTCTTACATCCTGAGATGCAATCCCTTAAGCTGTCCCAGCATACACAAGACTACCTCTCTCCCTCTGTGTAACAGATAACATTCTTGAAAAATTGTGTTTGAAGCCAGTTCCTCTGAAATCGTTCATTACATTGTCATTTCAAAGATGTGTTAACTTTATTAGGATTTTTCCCTAAGTAAAGATGCTTATAGCACTTTACTTTCTCAGCTATTCAACCCCTTCATAAGTGATGATGTGTAAACAAACACAAGGGCCAGAGGGGAACTCTCTATGTAAATGAAATCTGGAGGATATTTTTACAAGGACAAATCCAATCTCTTGTAAGTAGCATCTTTTCTTTTAACTGCTTAGTAGTATTTTTGTTTTGCTTTGCTTAAAGCATAATCTGTGTGATTTGGTGGTTAGAATATATGTGTACACTTAGGTACATATATATGACCATCTGCTTAAAGCTACTGGCTTAAGGTAACTAAAACTTAACTTTTAATGGCAGTAGGATGAAGGAAAAAAACTGCATTCTTTTTAATCTCCTATTATATGCAAGACACTTTCTTCCAACAATTTGTTTTATATTTGGAGAGTGGATCTGTATTTTTAAAAGCAAATAACAGTATGTGATTGTGTGATTATCGTAAAACTCAAATTTGAACATGTTGTTCACTTAATTATAAATATTTTGTGGTGTTCCCTTCTCCCTGCCAACAAAACAAAATTCACACTCCTTGAAATGCCTCACAGGGTTGCCTGGGATCTGGATACAAGCTCTCTCTTTACTTCGCATGTCTTCCCCTGCCCACAAGAGCAGTTCCTTAGATTTCACCTGCTACTCCATTTTTCCCTGCTTCTATTCAGCTTGTCTCTTCTGCCAAGAGTATACACCCCGTAAACCTATTGTGACAGCACAATTCTAAAGACTGTCTATTTATTTTTCAAAAGAAATACTCAAATGTTCCTTCCTTTATGTTGCCCTTCCAATATTACTGAAAATCGATTACCTGCTGTTTTATGCCCAAAGCAGACATGTATAAGAGCCCCTTCGAGTCTCGTTGCACTCACTTATTTATGCACCTACTCTCCCTCAGGACTTCCTGAGAACAGAAAACACTTCTCCTTACTCTCTGTCTTCTCAGCATTCAGCTTAGTGTTTAAAACATGGTAGATGTTTAAAATACATTTACTGATGTATACAAAATGCAAAAATGAGTGATGCAAAGTCCACTCCTGAACAGATGAGGGAAAGATGGCTGACTGAAATGATGGAAAAGGTGTCAGATTCAGAGACAGAGAGAATTTCAGCTACCAGGGGTACCCCATAGTCCACATTATGCAACAATTGGAGGAAAGACCAATGAGGACCAAGTCACTCCTCTGTTGGGGGCAGAAGGACCTGGTTAAGAACAGATAATTTACTATCAGGGACAAATGATAAATCAGGTGCGGAGAGTGCATTTAGATAGTGCAAAATTTTAAAGATCAACCCAAGGAATCTGGCTTATATCCTTAGGGAAATAAGGAAATCCTAAAGATTTTAGAAAGGGAAGATCAATCAAATAGGAGTGATTTGCGATGTGGGGTATCAGTGTGGCTGCAGTGCACAGACAGTTTGAGAGGATGGAAATGCCAAAGTAAAAATCTTTCCAGTTGCTGTTGCAGTCACTATTCATTAAAAAAAAAAGTGGAGAACTACTCTGATTTAGGATACCGTGCAAGAATGTGCTACAATGATGAGGCAGTGGGGAAAAGACAGGCAGGGTCCCTCTAGACAAGCAAGTAAAAAGATGTGGCTAATTATGGCAGAGAAAAAGTCAGCTATTTGAAAGTCCATTACGATGTGAGAAATTAAAGGTAACAAAAAAATATGAGCTTAGGTGGAATATGGGAAAGGACATAAGAAGATAGACATCATCAACAGAAATTAGAATCTTATAAGGAGGAAGAGATGTGTTCATTTTGGACAGCTAAAAATGATGCTGGGATACTCAGTGAAAATAACAAATGGACAGAAGGGAATGTAAGTGTAGAGCTCAGACAAAGATGTAAGATTTGGAGCGAATGAGAATTTTAAGGGGAGAATATATATAGAAGGAACTAAACAGCAGAGAGGACTGAAGCTTTACAAAAGCTGGTGTTTCAGGTTGTGCTCACCATAAGCACACAACTCTGAGATGGAGTCTACCATGCAGGATTTTTATGAGGAATCAATTCCTGTGAGAGCTGCGGGAGAAAGCAAATTAGGAAAAGACAGATATCAGGCTGTGATCCAGACCAACCCCCCTGGCGTGCTCTGGAGGATAAGGGATCCTCTGAGTCATCCTCTCCTCTCGCGGACTGAAAGGGCTGGGCCTTTGTAGCCAAGCCACAGTCAGTCTCTGAATGTTGTCCACCCCAGAAAGGGAGTGCTCTCAGATGAGTTGGCACCCTGCAGTGAGGAGAAAGCCTGAAAAGAGCTGAAAGCTGGAGGGTGTTTTTCTGACATGACATCGCTCTTAGGACCTGGGACAAGGCCTTCCTTAAAAGCAAATTTTTAAAGGTAGAACAGCTCTGTGTCTTCCACATCCATCCCTCATGTCCTCAGATTCATGTCATCACTTAAGTTTCAGGGAACACCTCCTTCAGGATTCTAGTGGGCCTCTCTCCCTGGAGAAAACTTGAAGAAGCAAGGTTAGTAGAATAAATGACAGTTCTGCCACTCTGGCTGGTCCTAAATCCACAACTAAAACTGACCATCTCCCTCTCTCACTATTAATTCTACATTCTTCTCAGCTTCAGCAAACACAGTTGCTAGCTACAATGGCTTACTTGATGGTACGACCCAAAGCCAAAAGACACCTAAGTGAATATTACTTTCTGCTCCTCTTATGTAATAGTAGGCCCATCTCTTCCTCAAGATCAAGGTCAAATACCTCTATCAAGATGAAGTATTTTTCTCCTTGCCTAAAACCTCTAAGATGTAGCAATAGCTTAAGTCCAGTGAAACTCTTTAGTCCCTTGATAGAAGTGTACCCCCTTTGGGGACCAAGACCTGTAACCCTGCAAAGACATGTAACCCTATAGAGTTATGGACTAGGAAGCACAATTTTCTACAGTGGGTCATGTTAAGTGGGGCCATTCCTACTTCCACCTGATGGAGTTTAGACCCATGTGTACTTCCCATGGAGGATATATTATTATATAAAGGTTTTTGATTTAATGTATATACTGGATCCTGGAGGATAGCAACCAATTCTCGCAGAACATCATCTCCAAACTTGCATTTCAACTGGACCTCCTACAGGCCTGTCAACAATCTGTCAGGCTAGGAGCTTTGAAGTCTGTGATATGATCAGTGTGCCCACTGCCACACCTCCTTGACTGTAAATTAGTTCACCTGCTCTGATACAGTGTTATGTGGGATCCTATGTGAGTAGATCAAATATATTGTAAGTCCTTGAATAATAGTGTTAGCCAAGGCCCTGCACTTATACTTGGAATATAGGTCTATTTTTATTTAAAACAAACAACAAATAGAAACACAAAAAAATCTCTGGTCCTTCTAAGATGGAAGGGGCTCAATGTAATCAATCTGCCAACAAGTGACTGATTAGGCTCCAGAAGAATAGTGCCATATGGAGAGCCCAGCATCAGTCTCTGTTGCTGGCAGACTGTACATTTGGCAGCAGCGGGAGATTTATCATTCTTGGTAAGTGGCAGGCCACGCTCATGGACACAAGCAGAGCTTTTGTGGCTGCCACTGCCACCAAATCCATGTTCCTATCACGGCAGCCCTGGAGTAGCCAATGACTGAGGCTGGCTGCTTGCTGCCAACTGGCCGAGTTATTCTGTCTATATCAATACTGTCAAAAACAAATATATTGGGAGCCATGAATGTGAGCTGTGTATATAATTTTAAGTCACCTTAACAAGAGTTTAAAAAGATAAAATTAATAATATATTTTATTTGACCCAGTATATAAAAAATTTCAACATGTAATTGATATAAAAATTATTAGCAATACTTTACATTCTTTTTGGAAGACTAAGTCTTTGAAATCCAGTGTGTATTTTGCAATTAGAGCACATTTCAATTTGGAGTGGCCACGTCTGGCTAGTGGATACAATATTGGACAACACAGGTCCACACTGTTGTTTAGTGCATCTTCTGTGGTGGATGCTCTCTAGTTAACAGGTGTTAACATGTGACACAAAGATATTTGCACTTTGTGTCCACTCTCACATGTCATTCACATGCTTATGCTCCAAGTTTCCTTTTCCCTAATCTTCTAATACCTCTGCTTTCAGCATCCTGAGCCAAGCATTCACTTCTACCCATCAGTCCATATATATTCTGACAGAGCTCCAACTTATTATTCTACACAAAGAGAATAACCAGGTAGACCTTAAAGCTCAGCCTATTTTAAGAATTTTTCTCTGGCCCCATGAGCTACTCCTGAGCAAGGCTATAGTGTAGCTGCCATGCATTTTTGGCTTATACAACATCCACCTACTAAACCAGCTCATCTATAAACCAAATCTGAAGGCTTTTTCCTCCTCCAGCAGTGAACCATGTGGCACCCTCCATATGGAGTGAGAAATGAGCTGAGAAGAAGGTTCAAGTACAACAGTGGCAAATGACATGGAAGAAGGGACTGTCTTGTCATGTAGCTTTTTTCTGTCTTTCAGTCCTGTTTATGCTCAATCCAAGTTTTCTACTTCTAGAATCCATCTCTTACAATAAAGCACTGCTAGCCCTGCCTTAAGATACGGGGTTCCACAGGTACAGTGCCTTGGTGTCCCATAGCAGGCACTTAATCTCTTTGAGGCTTCATCAATCTAACGAGTTGTTTCTCAAAAGGCATACAAATTACTGCTACAAAAGGCAAAACTTTAATCCCAGAGCCTATGTTGGGATTCTACCACTGGCGCTTGACATGATCTCCACACAGTATCTTTTCTCACAGCTGCTACCACTAATACCATGG